GGGGGGGGCGACGGATAGGAGTAAAATCAGCTGACATGGAGTAGTAACACAGGAGCTGCTCGCATCGGCGCCAGCATGAAGGACGCACCCAGGAATGTTCAAGATAAAGCGGTGGCATCCCCTTGTCTAGATTAAATATCTTTCAATGTGCTGAAGTTGCTTACAATCGTAGGTCGTGTGTAAAAGGGGAAATTTGGCAAATGCATCACTCTTTCAGAATTTTTCATATTAGTTCCATTTAAGTTAAACTGTGGTCACTGGCGACGAACGTGTATGTATATATTGAATAAACCTGAGGATGGACAGAAGCTACTAGAAACTTTAAACTCAAGAACCATCCTCTGGCTTTCTTGTCATAAAAAATTGACAGTGTAGCTTTGACAAACGTGTAGCAAGTTCCAATGGCGTCAAAAGAGAATCCGCTAGGTCGCGAGGTGCGAACGGAACAGCGGGTCCTCTAGTCTAGTGTCAAAAATCACATCAGTGAAATGGCTCAGAGACCTGCACTAAAGCTCATAAGTCTTGGCACCCACAAGAATGGACTTGAATAATTTTGAAAACATTGTCAATAAGGATTCAAAAGCATTAAAATAAGCTCTACGGCAATTGATACTGTACCAATAATTTTAAAATTGCTACAAGACAGACTTGAAAGTGACATCTGCAAATAACATGTTTGCTCATCCAGATGGGGGGATGGGCAGAAATTTGAGGAAAGCATGCTGTTTGTTTTGATTCAACCAGTTAACTCGGGATCAAGAGATATAGGCAGACCAGCCTAAGATCGCGATTTTCCTCACCCCCTCTCGCCCGCAAACTCCTATACCGCCTGTGCTAGCCCAGTCGCGACCTTAGGCTGGTCTCAGTATAAGTGAGACCATGACCTACAAGCAGATAATTCTTCATTACTTTTCAGTACTCATTCAATTAGTCATCTTGTAATATGTTATATGATGTACCCAGAATTGACATATTATTCCCCATAAGCTTGATTTAAACTTCAAATATTAGTTTTAATAATTTCAGATTGAGTTTTAATAAAGATGGAGATTTAGTAAATTGTTCAAATAATCACCATCTAAGGAAAACACAGTCTGTCAGCTCAAGCTGGAAGTCATCATGACCAGTCACACAAAACAAATTTAAAAATATGGACTGGAATGCCATGGACTTCTGCAAAATAGAGGTGGTGTTGAAATTCTGTCCAAAATTATTTAATCAGATGTTTCAACCCCACCTCAATCAGCTGTGACAGCAACAACAATCGTAGAGGTTATGTAGGGAGGCTCGGGTGTAGTGAGGCCTAGGGCCGCCATTACCCAACACTAACTCATATCTTCAACTTCAACGTACTCTCCAGCTCCGTTCCGGGCTTCAAAGATATTTCCGGAACGAAGCATTGGAGTATGCAAATAAAAAACTACCCAACACCTGTATCCCCTGGCAAATTCACAATAGCGACAAACCCCCTCTCTCCAGAGACGTGATACAGTCAGCTGGAAACGCCATTTTTCACGCCAACACTGCCATGACGACAAGCCGATGTCTTTCGAGAAAACCAATGAACACAGTTGGCTTCCCACTACCTCCTAGAAATATAACAAACCAAAACGTCTCACATGTGAAATAATCGTCGACCACGCCGTTTGTCTCGCCATCGCTGTTGCGCTGAAATAAAAAGGCCACCAACTCATGCCCGCCCAGCCGGGCCAAACATTTTTCCTCCAAACGCCTTGTGCGTCTCTCGCCCAGGGCGGCCATAACAGTTTGAGCCGCAGCGCCTCCTCGGGCTCGGGTTGGGGCCTAAACCCGACGGGCCGCGAGGCGGCGCGCGGCAGGCACAGCGCCATTCAGTCGCATTCCCGTCGCTAAAAAACCTTGTCCAAATGGTCAAACACACAGCCGATCAACATGGCGAGAGAGGAGCGGGGGTAGCGGGCATCAGCTGACTCTGCGCCGGCAACGCGTCGTGGTCGTGTCGACGCGACGCGCGGCCGCCTCCGAAAACACCCATCAACCCCTCTCACTCACACCCAAGGCCCGCGCCGGACGGCCCACGCTGGCCGAAAGGGCGGCAGTCTGCACTTCGGAGGCGGCCACGCCTGGTCACAATACAACACACGGCGTTTGCACATATCAACGGCCTGCCCTAATCAGCTGACGGGCAGGGGCAGAGGCCGCGGGCGGCGTCCTCTGGGGGACGCCTCGCCGCGACGCCCACCCCGTCAGCGGCGTCAGCCCGGGCAGGCGTCGCGTCCTACCCGCCCAGCCGCGCCTTCCTCCGCGCCTGCAGCGCCCAGCTCCGCCCCGCCTCCCCACGCCATGTCCGACATGACGCCCAGCCCGAACGTACCTGCCCGCATCCTCCTGGTCGCCCGAATCGAAATCGTCGAGAAGGTTCTGCTCCGAGCTGCGATTCAGTCCAGACATGGCTCTGCCTTTTCTGGGGTTTTCCTGCAGTCGTTGGGGCTTATCACTCGCGCGCCGGGGGAAATCGGCACATGAAAAAAATCTCGCACTTCGGGGAGACGCTTTTCCAAACCGCGCGCGCCAGGCCCCACGCCTCGCTGTGTTTTGTAAAGGCGATCTTTGGCGGGAAACAGCTGAAGGGTTGCACAACGAGCGGTAATATCCCTACGCCGTGCGGTCAATGAATTCAACACGTGTTGGAAAACGGCAGCCCGAAACAGCGACCCACGAAACTGAGTTTTAATTTCCAACACGGTGCTACCAGTCCTTTTGTCAAATATCTGGTCTTTGGGTTCGAATACAGCAAGCGTCCCGGCGGACTACTTTGTCTGCGTTCAGAATGCGGCGGCAGGACGCGGGAACGCGGGCGGCGCACGTACACCAGCTGGGCCAAGCCGAAGCCAAAGGAGAATCCGTAGTAGATCAGCGGCGGGTTCAAGTTTAAAAGTGAATCAATCGCGCTGGGTGCCTCCATCGAGATCAATCAAGAATTAAAATTTGAACGATGGGCCCAGGTCGTTAACCCACCACCAGAGAACACACAAAATATCTAGAAATAAAGCCACAATTTCCATGTGTTCGCAACTACGCTCATCTACGGCGTAGTATCAGGATCAGGACAATGCCACTCCCAGCCAACCAGCATCGAACCGGCTTTTCTCGGCCTACGTATTTGCGTTCAATCAAAAGCATGCGACGCAGAAGCCAGGGAAAGACGTCGGTCTACATTTTTATTCCAATAGGAACATAATGTATCTGTTTGAACAGACAAAAATATCAGGTTCCATTCAATTTATATTATTTCTGGACTTTGAAAGCAGCGCAACATGGGGAAGTCGCGGCATCTATCGGCAATGCACTGAACCTCTTCCCTCACAGACAGGGGTGGCACGTAAGTGACATCCGCTCACTGGGTACAGCACAACAAAACACATGGTCGCACGGTACTCACCTCAGGCGTCGCAACTTGGTTCATTTTTGGATGTCTTACAAGTCTCTCCCACTCCACAGTTTCAGCAAAGCGAAAAAATTACTGAACATAAGCAATCTAAATATTATGTAGGCACAGTAATTCTTATAATAAGCCCACCTTTAAAGAGGAAAATTAATACAAAATCCATTAAATAGCTGATTGAAAACTGCCACATGTATTTTGAAAAAGGTGAGATCAGAATAAAAATATCTGACCCCACCAACATCATTTTATTATACATTTCAATAGGGGTGTATAAATAGTTCCTTGGTTCCTAAATGCAGTCTTAATGGTAGGCGAATCCAGAGGTGTCCTCTGAGTGGATGAATTTATAAGCTTTGAGACTATTTACATGAAAAATAAAAAGGCAATTTTGGCAAATCCGCAAAGGGGGAAGGTCTGGGCTGTCCAGCATCCCTACCATGCCCCTACCTTCCTTAACAATCATTGTCTCCCTTGGTGCACATACTACTCTTTCGAGAGCATACGGCAACAGGGTAAACCTGCAATATTTACAAATGAATGAATGTGGGTCAATTTGGGTAATACATCAGTCTACAGTAAAATCACTGAGTGAAGAGAAAATGGCCTCGTGATAATGGTTAGGAATAACTATGCTAGGCCCTATGATGACAATGCAAATGCTAAGTGAAAAATATGAGGACCAAGTAAAACATCTTAACTAAGGATACCAAATAAATGAAAAGCAGCTGGCATTATGTTTCCATTTCTTGGATTTATGCAGCAAGGTGCTTGTACAACTTAAAATTTTAATGGTAGATGCATATTCTTGCTTCAAGAAAAGAAAGATTCTGAATCAAAAGAATTTTAAAATAAAAATGAGGAACAAGAAAATTTTTAAAAATTAGACAATTATCCTCTAAAAAAAATATGTATGAAAATTTTTGACATTTCTTCATATTCAAAGAATCAATTGGTTGCCATTGAACTATTGAATGGAACTATGGCAGACCAAAGTACAGAATAAGTTAATTTTTTGAGCTCTGTAAGAATAAACACAAGCTTCAAAAATACCAACCACAAAACTAAATAAACTTTGGTTGTACGTAATCAAATCATTTTGAGATGAGAAGCGGAATTAAAAGACAAAATTAATTCATTACCTACTTCATGTTGAAAGCGTCACGCAGAGAAAATGAACTACCAAGTTAACAAAGATTACTCAAGCTTGTTTCTTAGTTACATACTTCAAATAATCAGGTCCTTTCATAATAACATATTAGCTAAAACGTGATACCAATGTTATTACAATTTAAAGTGAAGTACGGTACGGTATAGAATGAGGAAACCTAATACACCCTCCAAATATGAAATCAAGGTGGCGCCTCTCACCAAATGAGTAATTACATACCACTTGCAGTGTAGAAGAGAGAATGTATCTCATAGTGATCATTTCAGTAGACAAGGATGACACATTACAACACTCTTCACAAAATCACGCATTGCTGACGTAACAGCAAATAAGAAAATAATGTGTCAAAATTACTTATTTCACAGCCAAGGAATGCCTACATTACAGTGTGGTTGACATGTGTAAAATTGAAGGCAGATTAACAACACATTCCTCATCACCTTTGGACTGAACCTACTTTCCTTTAAATGACGTTCTGATCATTCCCTGAAATTTTTAACAACATCTGACACACTTAATTTCTAAACAACATTCATATAATTAGCAATGACTGGATAAAAATAGCAATTGAGATGAATTAAAAAAGAAGTCTTATGATGATTGCTCTCAGTTTCACAAAACACCTGTCTAGGTAATATGTGATACAAAACCTATTAAGCGCATGATCATGTAGATAACAGAAACCCCTGAGATTACTACAATTATAAAACAACAAATCACACTAGATACTAATCTGTAGTTGATTGAACAGTGCTATGGATAGGCTAACAAGACCAATAGACACGGGAACTTTGGCAAATTTAGCAAATAAATAAATCTCAAAAATTACAGTACCCGCTGGGGATTATTGCTTGTTTGGTGTAAAATTGCAGACATTTGTCTCCTTCATGGACTTAGATGTATAAGGCATAATCTGAATGACACAAATTCAAGTTAGTGGTTTCTTCAAGAGAACACTCAACTTCATTAGAAAATGTAGAATTCAGAAACAGGCTAACATGCTCCTGTAAGAGGTCACAGCGGTAGAAGAGATAACATTTAACATTTATCAAGAAGCATAACCAGAAATCTAACCTAATACCTTGCTTTGTAACTCCCCCAGAAACTTCTGTTTCCAATCATATTGCTGCAAGTCCTGTTTTCAACAGGATCTCACATTCAAAATTAATGACTTCAAGTGCAAAACCTATTTATCAACAATAGGAAATTTAATGTTACGAACTGTGTAACAAAGTGGTTGTACAAAAATAAAATCTCCTCAGCATTTCCTAGCGATTCATGTTTTAAGGCTAAACTACATTTCTAAATCATTCTTATCATTTAATCATTAAAAAACATAGTATTATCAATAAGATGGTTCTCATAACAAATCAGCAAACTTCCCATTAAAGTGTGCACATAGTCGTACTTATCAAGATAATTATTGATCCATCATCTTCATCTTGTAAATAAATATATCCATTCATACAGCTCAACCCAGTTTACAAAAAAAATTGTAAACTTACAAAGAAAAATATTATCACTGGTCACAAGTTTCAGAAAAGTAGAAATTCAAAGAGAAGCTAATCCAAGCACTTTAAGTATGATGGCTAACTGAAATACCAGAAAAAGTAATCACTATGACATACACTATGACTCATATAATAGGAGCCAGATATTATACGACGTGATTTCAGTGCCACCTTGAAAAACAAACATACTTCATGTTGAAAAACAAAAGAAAGCCAATTTGCAACCAGGTGTTGTGATATGTAGATCAGAAATTGAATAAAAACTAAAATGATGAGAAAATATTTGTCATACTTAACAGTTTGATGAAAACATCTGAAATTCAAATACTTTCTACACATGAAAGAGACCATCTAAATTCATTCTGATATAACCTAAAGAAGTTTCTTGTACCCTGCCTTGGCACGTTCCTGTGCTGGGTTTACCTTGATGCGAAGCTGCTGGATAAGGTCTGAAATCTTAAGGGAAGGCCCAACTTTCATACCAGACAAAGCCATTACCTCCTCTTTGGTGAGATTGAGCAAAGCTTTTCCATTTATACTCTGCAAAAAGAAAGAAAGAAATTAGATGTTTACAGTTCAAACATAAAATCTTAAATATTAAATTCCATGTACTCATTGTAAATATCAATTTAAAACCGAATTATAATAGGTGTGGGTAACACTTACTTTCCTGGCAAAATTGTCACAGTATGCAGCACAATCATTCACTTTGAGAAAATGTGAGACATCATTTACATCCCATTCATTAGGATTGAGCTCTCCCAGCAAAGAACTGGAGTTGTCAATGAGGCGAGGGATTACCTTAGCTGTGACACCAACCTAGCAAGACAGAAAAATAACAATCAATGAAACAAAACTTGAACGAGTTCCAAATACGATCAACTGCTAAACAATCGTGTTTAGATGTTTCAGATGGCATTCTTAATACAGTATTTATATTTTTATATAAAATCAAGCAACTTACATCAAATTGATGGTGTGACCCTTCAGCTTCTGTTGGTAGTTCAGAGAAACCCTCGTGGGATAAACCTTGGTCACTGCCTGTATCTAAACATTCAAAATAAAAAAATAAAAAAATAGGGTAAGACACAGCATAATGGGATCATATTTCTGAGACTATACTTAATATCTATTTCCTGTTACTACAGTTGCCTTAATGCAGGAGAAAATGCCATGAACTTTATTACAAGATTAGGAGACACCATTACCATGACACAAAATTAACTTTAATTATGCACTACTAACTCCTATCGGTAAACAGTAAATAAAGTCAGGAAGAAGCAGTGTTTTATATTTTCCTATGGTCTCATCATGCTACTGAAATGTCTGTGTGAAACTATTAAAGGAAGAAAAAAACATAAGGAAAATAAAACAAACCTGAAAATGAGTCAACCTGCATTAACATGGGCACAGCTGCATCACCCATAGCAGGAACGTGGGTAGATAATAAAGTACCACCTGGACTCTTTTTCATGCCAGGTCGTCTCTTTGGCATGCCTCTACGACCTCGTCTGCCACGAACTCCACGTTGTGTCCGTCCTACACGAGAGAGCCAACAGCCTAGGTAGGTTAGTGTACAGCACACCAACATGAAGACAGTGATTTTGAAAAGACATTGGGGAGCCTAGCTCTTACAAGAAAATGGGTAATAGTACAGGTATTTCCCCAATTGTTGAAAAGAGAACAGATAGTATGGAAGGAAGATAGCGTAACCACCACAAAATTATCTTTGTACCATTTAAAAAAAAGTTTGCTCCATAGTCATTTCACTGCTTTAAATAAGCACGGGATGAATTTGATAACATATAAGGAAGAAGTATAACGTACCTGTATTTGGATTAACTTTAGGCGGTGATACCACTCTAGGGCCCTCAAGTTTGTGAGAAACCAGCTGGCACCAGCCCACTGGATAGAGATCAGAACTGCTACAATCAAGCCATTGATCATACTCCACTTCCCATCCATCGAAATGCACCCTGAGAAGGCGACCAACTACTCTGGAAATTGTGGCAACACAAACAAGTCTAGGGTCCATGATGTCTGTTGCTTCCAAGTGCATATCTTCAACAAAACCATGATTTGGGACCTCCCACTAAAATATTTAAAAAAAAAGAAATAAATTTGAAATGAAACTAGAGAAATTAGATACACCTTGAAGATAGATAGATAGATAATGCTTTCTTAGGGGTGGGAGACAAACCTGCTTAAACAAGAAGGATGGTGCAGCTACAGACTGAGTTTCTTGCAAATAAGCATTCCAGTTAAAGGTTCCAACTTCATAACCTTTAGGTGGTGTCAAAGTGATGTTGTTTGCTTCACAAAAGCCAGGAGCAAAAATACAAGCTGATGTTTGATGGTAGCAGAACCAGTCAGAGCAATTTACATCAGCATCATATGTTTCAATTCGTATCATCAAATACCCTTCATTCAAAACCTGAGAAATACAATTCATAAAAACAAATTAATTTTTCCAGAGAGTAAAAATAACAAAGGAAAAGAATGTTTTAAATGTACCTTCATAACAGTAGCAACACAAATTGATGATAGATTTAAAGGGTCAATTGCCTCCAGTTTCATTCCCTCAACAAAGCCACTTTGTTTTTGAGTGGCTAACTGTACAGCTATTTGATTGAACTGTTGCTGTTGTCGCACTTGAAGTGGAAACATGTTATCTGTGGCATCATCTTCATCCCACTGACCAATCGCACATCTTTCTACATATTCAGGGGGTGCATCAATTTGATGCCCAACCCTTTGAGCCCATCCAACTGGATGAATCAGGTTTGAATCTTCATGACACCAAAATCCATTGTCATCATCATCAGTCTCATAATACCTTACATGCAAGCGTTTTCCTACTATCTTCTCAATGGTTGCTACTTTGACTTGAGATATTCTGTTTTTATCAACAACTTCAACATTCAAGTCACACCTAGTCAATAAAAACAAGTGAAAATATTTATCACAATACTTCCTAGGCCAAAAACTCAAGCTTGAAAAAGTAAAAATAATAAATGATTGAAACATACCTGAACCTTGACTTCAAACTGTCGTGGACTTTGTTGTAAAATGTAGAGGGAAGTGTGCGTGCTCCAGTTAAACGTTTCACAAGGAAGTCTTTCCAGTCAGAATACTTGTGTTCCACAGCTTTTAAAAAGTGATAACATAAATTAAAACAAAACTTGGGATGAAATTTAAAAAAAAAAACACACAATTATATACCAAAGCACTAACTTTTTGGAGGGATTAAAGGACGTCCGCGAATAGCGCACCAGCCAACATGGTGAACAATGGAGGAACACAAATTAACCCAAAAGTCTTTACTACTGTTCTGTCCAAATCCTTCATACCGTAACAGGGCCTTGTATCCTGAAAGGAGAGGTAAAACATTGATACACAAAGGTGACAAACAAACATACTGTCATATTTAACAAATATTACATACCTTGGATTTTAAGTACAGTCGCAACCCAAAATGAATCTGGAAAATCCTCAGAAAAGTTGTCACAATCTGTGTTTTGTACTTCCACCTTCATGCCAACAGTGATGTTGTCCCAGCTATCTGCCATTGGAGCCTGCAATATTAATTTAAACAATTAGTTGTTTAATTGAAAGAACATTGATTAAAGAAGGATATTTCACTACACTTACATGCTGGAAGCAAGAAACAGGAGCAGCAGAAAACCCAGGATCATTTAACATAGAGTCCCATTCAAATGTACCTGCCAAATCAGGGCAGCTCTTTTTATCAGGAGGAAATATAGGCTCATCTAACTGCAAAGGGGGTAGTGGGGTAAACGCTGAATATGGCCGAGTTGTTGCATTGGATGACAAAGAGTCCTCACTTTTGGAATCCTGCAAAGAAATGTTCAAGTAACATTACCTGGTGCAATGCAAATGCAAATAACACAAACAATCAAAAGTAAATGTACAGACCGAACTAATCCATTGTTTCTGATCGACTTGTCTATCTTCTTCTTGGTGAGTTTGAATTGTTTCACACTGCATAGGCATCTGAGGCACAACTTCCATAGTAGCCTGCATCACCTGCATCTGGGCTGACAATGGCATGTTCAACTGCATGTGTGACATGTCTACTTGGGACTGCATCTGCATTGGCTGCACGGGCATTTGCAGTTGATCCATTTGAGGTATTCCCATGGGCAGCTGCTGCATTTGTGCTGCAATTGGTTGCATTTGCATTGGGACCTGAGGTTGTAATCCATTGCCCATCATTTGAGTCTGGATAGGCTGCATTTGCTGTAACTGGCTCTGCAACTGAGGTGGTAATTGGGCTTGAATCTGAGCCTGCATTTGTTGTGGCATCAACACCTGCATTGACTGTTGCTGTTGCATTTGCATTTGTTGTTGCATAGCCAGTTGTTGCATCTGAACTGGTTGCACATGTTGAACTTGTTGTTGCATGGTTGGTTGAACTATTTGTTGAACTTGATTGTTAGCAGTTTCCTGCTTGATTTCGTTATTATCCTTAATTGGGGTGGGGTTTTCTCCTCTAGAACAAGCCAAGCTGCAAAATCGTCTCTCCTTGGTGTAAAATGCGTGCTTCACTCCAATGGCTCCACAATTCTGACAAACAGCTGTAAATATCAAGGGAATACTTAATTAATAATGAATTCATCACAAATAACAAATAGCACAAAACCAAAATTTTTAACAATTACCCATGCCATCTTTCTGGATTGGTATTACACTTGGATCAGTGTCACTTTGATATGCTATGGGAGTTTTCAGCTTTAAACCAGGATGTTTCACTGGTCGTATCTTCTTGGTTCCACTTTGCTGAGGGGTCTGGGATGGTGACATAACTTTGGATCCATCTTCTCCACAATATGGATCATATTCATCCAGACCAATAAAATTTTCCATTCCCTAAAAATTGGTAAAATTAAAACAAAAACAATGAATGAATAAATTAAGTAAGAATGTTATGGTATAAAAATTATGTTTGCACAGATATGTAATTTTACTTACCAGCTGAGGCCGCATGTCCTCCAATGATTGTAATGATTGTGATGTGTCATTATAATACGTTCCATCATTCTGTTGAGGAAATATGTGTTCTGAATCCGCTTGAAGTAGCATATCATTGCTGCCCATCCACACCAGACCTAGTTCTAAAAATTTGAGATTTTAAACAAACAAAAAAACGACAACAGATAGATGAGAAATGAGGTTTGTTAATACTTTGTTACACTAAAGAGAACTTTATAAAAGAAAGAAATAGGATTCAGAGATGTGGTATAATTTTTTTAAGTGTGTAGTTTCTTCAGTAACTTCACAACTAATATGTCAACAATTTAAATGGCAGTTAAGAGAAACAAAATTCACCAATCTTAGGGGGGGAAACCGTATCAAGAAATAATAATTATGAGCTGGCAAAAAAGATATTGTACAATCATTTAGAAAAGGCAAATCTGAATACTAAGAAGTGTTTCTGAATTTATAACATTGAATTAATATGATACGGACATTGATAATAATTCCTAAGGACCAATGTTGCCCTGAAATAGTTTCCACACAACAAAGCCCATACAGGTTAATTTGGTTAAGAGAGTTCATAAAAGATACTATACAGAGGACACTCGTCCAAAATGTGTTTAGAAGGAGCCGGCATTCTTCTCACTACTAAAATGATCTTGAGAAGTATTTCGTAACAAGACATGAGTAATTAATAAATAGAAGAAAACTTAACGGCAGCCTAGGCTCGGCAGCATGATGCTGCTTTTAAACATACTAACCATTGCTTGTAGCCATGTCCATCGTTATTGTTAGTCTATTATTTACAAGGAAAAATCAAATAATTTTGAGAAGACGAATATACACTCTTAAACAATAAATAAATATTGAATGTCGCAGGCGTCCTAAACACACACAACCTCCTCATTTCCCCGCAAGCTTCTTTCTTACGGTATCCCAATGTGAATATGAAGTTACTATTCCTAAAGTTGTTCTTTGTCGTTTGTAAAGGGCGCATTTTGTTTTGTTTTGCTTTCTTCAAATAAAATAGTTAAAAGGTGTAGTTGAAAGAGCTCAGGGTTCAATATCAATCATGAAAAAGTCAAAAGCAGACTTTTTTTATGCATGATGTGGGTGGCTTTTCGGCAACAAGCGCGACAGGGTACACGGTTACAAGTTGGTAGTGCTTGTTAACCTTTTGAGTGTGGCGGCAGTGGCAATAAAGAAGAAGAGTAGAGGAGAAAGAAGTTGTATATTGTTTTTGGTGGTGCTGGAAGCTGGAATTCAAATTACATTGTGGTCACAGCATCACCCGAACCGAAGCATTCCAGCTAAGCAGTTTTCGTGATATTCTACGGACAAGAATGTTTGATTGATCGTTTATATTCGACTACAGTGTTGGTGGTGATGGTTCGTGTATATGACTCCAATGGTGGTGACTGCATTTAATTCTCACCCTATTAGATGGGCGTATAGGCGTAACCCGGGCAGCGCCGTTTGGTAATGCGCATTGAAATGCGCCTACAAAGTAACACAATTTAGGCACATTTAATGTTCATTGCCGCATTAAATAAGCATTTAATACGCGTAATGCGTAGTACCAAAATTCGTTACCTTTTCTAGTGCGCATTGCCGCATTTAATGCTCATTTAAGTGCATTTAGTGCATGAGAAATGAAACATCAGACCGATATCGAAACGATATCGAATATCAGATATGTGTCAGTTTCAGGACCATCTCATTATCAAAGTGATACGAAAATTGACAAATGATATCGTTCTGAAATCAGTCCGATATTTCATTTCCCCCTGGGTACTTGGGAAGTTCCTGCCAGACACGTTGACATAATGAATATAAAATGCATCACTTGTATTTGATGTTCCATTTTTATTTTCAGAAAATTTCTTTAGGGATGGGGAGGTAAGGGATTGGTAGGGAAGGGTGGGGATATTTGGCACTACAGCTTATGGCTATGATTGGAATTCATTTCTATTTACATGTTAACACCTCTATATAAATTGCTCTGGGCAACACATTCTACAACATTCACTAATCCTCCATTCATACTTTCACTTAATTTATATACACGTAAATTAATAATTTGTACAATTTTAACACATCAGTACATAGATTGGCTTTCTGCTGTTACATGGCAATGCAGGTTCAAGGGTCATGTTTACTTGAATGGACTAAATCCAGTTAGGATGTGCAGTAAACCCAACCAGAAGCTTACTTCACTTGACATCGATTAAGCATTTATTAGATGATGACATCTATTTATGGACCGAAAATAGACCCCATCCTCTAAAAGATTTCAGGTAGATGTCAAGTGTCGACAAGTAGATGAAACTTTTCTAGCTGGGTCAATAACTGATGCTTTCACACAAATGCTTTCATTTTATAAGTATTTCAACAGTCCCTTGACAACCTGGCTTGCAGCAGTGCTCAGTTAGCTATGGCCACAATTTTTAAATAGGACCACCATTGGCCCAGACTAGAGATGAGCTTGCATTGTTTACTCTGCCTTTCAAAACAATGCACTTAATCTCAAAACCTATGAGCCACCAAAAAGTGTTCTGTAAGGAGGAGCCCACAAATGAAAAAAATAATGTTCATATTCTGTAACAATGACTAAATGTAGCTTGGCTCAATTACACTTGCATAGTCGTTAAATGTAATTCCTCAGAACAAAATTTAGTGGCTTAAAATAAATTACAATACTGGTACTTATGACACATTTTCTGAACTTTCAACACTTAATATGGTCACAATAATTAAATATATTACAGTATCACTTTCTTTCATATGATCTTTCACAAGATTCAATTTCCTTGACATTGTTCTTTACATACCCCTGCATCTTTAAAAGCAGTCTTAATTTTGTAAACATCACAGAAACTCTGTCACATTGTACAAGAATAAATTAATGAAAAGGAAATGGGGAGTTGTCTTCATCAAACACACCAATTCCCCTTGTTTCACGTCAACCATTCATCTAGGTTCTTTTTCTCTTACTAAAACAAATAAATACTAATTTGAGGAACACACTACTGTCACACATACTCTTCTGAGGGCTTGGTTGGCGAGGCTGGAAGCCTTAATGAGGCTGGCACCGGCACCCCTCTTCCGTTGACCGAGTCGGGCAGCTCTGCAATGTCTTTGAACACCCCGACCAGACTTTGGAAATTGGGACCCCAGTTGAGGAGGTAGTCCCAGCCCAGGGCAGTGGCCGAGGGAGAGAGCGGGCCGTGGGGCCCGTGCGAGGGGCTGTGCGGATGCCCGAGGCCGTGCACGCCCATGTGTGTTGACAGGTCGTCATCCGAGGCCACGAGCGTGCTCAAAGATCCCCGGAACGACGAATCAAACCCGTCGTACGACGGCGGCGGGGGCAAGGAGGGTTTGCCCGAGTGCACCCCGGACATGGGGCCGGCCAAAGGGCTGCTACCGCGGCCCGTGTCCGTGGCCTCGTCGTCGTCGTCGTCATCCTCGCACGTGCCGCGCACGTCGCCACACGTCCCCGTGCCCACACTGTTGTTGTCGTACTCGATCTCGGAGCACGTGAACGAGTCGTTGCCGCTCTCGTCCGTGGTGGTGGAGTGCGCCGAGTGGTTGTCGTCCAGGTCGTCCATGTCGTCGTCCTGGTGGTGCATGTGCCCCCGGTGGCCGTGGCCCATGCCCCGGTGGTGCGGCGTCGAGCTGACCGCGTCCAGGGTGGACACGAGGCTCGAGTTGCGCGGGGGGTTGTGGTTGAAGCGCTGCATCTCCTCGGCCAGCGAGGACGCGTGCGACGCGTGCGAGGGGTGCGGACCCACGTGCGACCCCACGTGGTTGGGCAGGGGCATGTCCTGCGGGTGCTGCAGGGGCAGCGAGGAGATGGCCTGGTGGCCGATGGCCTGGTGGCCGGGCTTGCACAGCTTGCGGGATCCCGAGCCGCTGTGGCTGCTCAGTTGCGACATGACGGGCGAGTTGAGCGACCGCTCAGAGTTGGAGTGCAGCGCGCTGCACGCGTCCTTGCCGACACCGACCGTGCCGGACGAGGAAGTGGTGGCGAGGAGCGCCGACTGCAGCGGCTTGCCGCTGATGTCCTGGAGCGTCAGGATGCGAGGTTGCGACGACACCTCTGAGCTCGGCGACAACCTTGCTAGCGGCGTGCTCTGGTGCTGCACTCGGCCGCCGCCCCCTCCGCCCCCGCCGCCGCTGTTCGCGACGGAGGGCGGCGAGTCCACGCGCGCCGCGGGCGCGGGCGGCGCCGGGGGCAGCACCATGGACCGGGGCGAGTCGCGACTGGGGTGCTGCATGAAGGGAGTGTGGCGATGCGCCGCATGCGCCGCGGCTTGCTGCAGGCCTGCGGGCAGGAGAACAAGTGCGTCAGGCTGGAGCTCGGAGCGGAAGAGCGACGCTGCACATCCGCGCAGGTCCCACCGCAAGTACTCACCCTGCTGCATGTGCTTGTGGTGATACGACGTCGGGTTCGGCGGCGCGCTGGGTGCGGGCGCGGGGCTCGCCTTGTACTTGCGCGCGCCCTCCCGGTAGCCCTTGTAGTGGTAGACGATGTCAATGTCGGAGGGCGCGATGGAGCTCGCGTTCTCCAGGTCGTAGTGCTCGGGCATGTCCATGCTGGGGTCCATGCTGGTGGCGTCGTGTGGGTGGTGGGGCGGCGGGGGCATCGGCAGCGGAGGCGACTTGCCCACCACCTCCCTTTCGATGATGTCGGGCCGTTGGGGACGTTGCTGCTCCAGATCGCGCTCCTTGTACTTCTTGGCGATGAGTTCTGGGTGATGCGCTCGCAGCAGGTCCCCGCCAACGCCTTCTACGCCGTGCAGTCGACCCAGGTCGCCGCCGACACCACCAGGCAGCAGTCTGTAACAACACCACGACAAGAATGTCAGAAAGTCTACTCATGAACGGCAAAATAGCCCAGTGTTAACTTGCATGTCTGAAGTGGGACACTCACCCTCCTGCCGTGACTAGCGTGGTGCCGGGGGAGCCGCCAGGCCCTGCGCCCTTCTCCTTGCTGTGCCTCCGCAGCCGGAATACGACAAAGGAGACGAGAATGACGACCAGTAAGATGACGAAGAAGACGATGACGAGTGTGATGCCGATAGACAGTGGGTCGGGCGCAGCGGCGGCACCCACGCCGACCGGGCCCGCGCAGCCCGCCCACACCTTGCCGTGGGCGTGAGCGGCCAGTATGGACCCGGATCCGTTGAGCGGCTGGACCTCGGCATTGATGGTCAGGTTGGCGACGCAGCCCTCAAACGCTGCGGGGAGGAAAACAAACCGTTGTTGACCGAAGGAAAGTGATTATGGAGCGAGATCAAGACGACCTTGGGGCTTTGTGGACTTACCTTGTGGGGCGTCCGGAGCGTGGAAGGTGTCTCTCACGGCGCCGCCCACAGACAGCGTGGTGAGGTAAGGGTCCAGGAAGTCGTGCACGCCGTTGGGGTCCAGCTCGTCCCCGGCCCTGCGTCCGTCCAGCAGCAGCCGGAGCGCGCGGCCCCGGGACTCGAGGGTCACGTTGTGCCAGCGGCCGTCCCACAGCGGCTCCCAGTCCGACACCGTCATGTTGACGGGCGAGCCGGCCGCGCCAGCTCGAGACATGTACACCAGCACGCCGCCGCGGAGCTGAGGGGAACAGGACATAAGGAAGGTCAGAGTTTGTGCAGGGGGACGCCGACCAAGTACTTTCTTTAGAGATGAAGTCGCCTGCTTACCTCGATGGCGGTGAAGTCCTTGTTGGAGGCCGCGTACAGAATGAGGCCGTCCCTGCGGACAGTCCTGAAGGATACGCTGAGGGTCTTGGGGTGGTGATGGTGGTGCTGGTGGTGGTGGTGCTTGTCCCTGCCGTGCCACCGCGTCGTGCCGCGGTAGACCTGGTCGAGCAGCTGCATCCGGCGGTGCATGTCGGACACGCGGAACGACAGGAAGGCTCCGTCCGCCAGGGTGCTGGGCTGCAGGCTCTCGACGCAGTCGGGCGCTAGCACGCCGGTCGCGCCGACGCCAGTGGAACACTCGCACGCCGACGATGTCCAGCGATCTACACACGAGCCTAGCGAGCCGCAGCGCGGCGCCAAGCGCGACACACCCTGCGGAGGCACCTCCTCGCTGCGAACAAGAAGAAAGCATCGTGGTCAGAGACAGGCAGTTCATGATGGAGGATCGCGCCGGCTTTTCAAAACAAATGAAGCGCACCTGTCGAGATCCTGGAGACCAACGGTTCTCGGCTGAGTCCTGGCGCACAGGGAGCCCGGGCGGCCGCAGGTCGTCTCCACGCCGCGAGAGTGGAGCGGGCTGCTGAGGTTCAGGGGTCGACCGTTCACGGACACGCTGTGCACGCAGCCCACGAAGTCGTCGTTGGAGATCTGTCCGGGTCGTTCCAGCACCGGGTCTGCCGCCTGCAGGCCTCCCACCATCATGGGGTGGCCGTTGAAGTTCAGTGTTCTGCAAAGAGAGAAAGGCGGGTTAGTCTCGCGTCCTGGAAGATACTGGCTAAATGAGCAGCTGCAGGAGAACTCACCCAGTGCCGCCCATGTCTGTGGCGTAGCATGACTCGTCGTCCGGACGACATTCCCCGCACGAGTCCCCGTTGTCGGTGCAGGCCGCCACACTGAGCGAGACGACGCGGCCGTTGCGAGTGGCGGTCACCTTGTGCCAGCTGGCGTCGGCCAGGGAGGGCGGCCCCACCGTCAGCGAGGAGATGGCGGTCCGGGCGCCGCCGAACGAGAACACGGCCTTGCCGCCCACCAGCTCGAGCGCCACGAAGTCGGACCGACCGCCCGTCTGCGCCCCAAAGTTGTAGACGAGGAGCGCGTCGGGCTTGGAGGTGGCGAACACCACCGAGATGTCGTTGGTGGAGGCGTCCAGCGAAGGGAAGGCAGCGTAAGACAGCTCGCGGAAGCCGAAGGCGGAGCGCTCACAGTGGCGGCCGTATCGGCCGTCGGGGCAGGTGCAGCGGTAGCCGGGCTTGAGGGCGACGCAGGCGCCGCCGTGCAGGCAGGGGTTGGGGCGGCAGGAGTCGGCCACCGCCTCGCACTGGTTGCCCCTGAAGCCCGGCCGGCACAGACAGAAGAAGGACGCGCCGTCGCCCCGGCAGGAGCCGCCGTTCCGGCAAGGGTTCTCGCTGCAGGCGTCGCCGCGCTCCCGCTCGCAGTGCCGGCCCTCGGTGTGCGTGGGGCACACGCAGCTGTAGTCCTGGCCCTGGCGCCGGCACGCGCCGCCGTTCTGGCACGGGTTGGCGGCGCACGGGTCCTGGCGCCGGTCGCAGCGCGCGCCCGTGAAGCCGTCGGCGCAGCGGCACTGCACGTCGCGATGGAGCACGGGCGTGGCGAGGGCCAAGGAGGGCGAGTCGGTGAGGCGGAGTGGCAGGGCGGGGGCGACGAGCCGCAGCGCGTCGGAGCAGACGGCGCCCTCGTGGCAGGCGGCGCGCTGGCAGGGCGAGTAGCCCAGCACCAAGGGACGGCCACCGACCAGCTTGCCCAGACGGTCCTGGCGTCGCTGCAGCGCCTGCAGCACCGCGGCGCGGCTGTGGTAGCCCCGCTGGCCGCGCGCAGCCACCGCCACCTCCACTCCGGCGTCGCGCTCCTGGACCGAGTACGCCAGCACGGATAGGTGATCGTCCTGGGGCAATGCTGAGCGAACCACGTCCACCAAGTCCTTGTAGTGTGAATCCAGGAACATGGAGGCCGTCAGGTTGTCGACGCGCACCGTCACGGTGCCCTCCACTGTGTCGTTGTCTACTGCCTGGATCTCGACCGTCACCACGTTGGTGACGTCGGCGTGCACGCCGTCGTTGGCCATGACGTTGATGGAGTAGGCGCCACCGGGTTGCGCCATGGCGTTGGCGTGCAGCTGGCACGCGCGCGGGATGGAGAGTGGTACAGTCCTGGAGGGTCCGGGCGGCACCATCTTGCACCGGTAGTCTCCCGTGGCGTCCGGGTCGTTGGGCCGCACGTCGGCCACCACCCCCAGGGCGGCGGACGGCGGGGAGCCGTCTGCCATCGTCGAGGACGGTGCGGAGGGGGGCGCAAACACGAGGAGGTGCAGGGCGCGCGGCGAGGATGGAGAGTCGTTCTGGTCGAGCACGGTGACGGTGACGGGGTGCTGGGCGCGCTGCGGTGGACTTCCACTGTCCTCCACTTCCACCTGCGGAAAAGAGATCGAATGAGTGAGGGTAACGAGAACGTATGAGAGGTGAGGGTGAAGGGTACGTGGCTGGAGGGCATAAATCAGCCGACCAGTCCTCTCCTTACCAGTAGGTCCAGGCTGTCGGTGGTCTCTCTGTCGATGGTGTGCGCCGTCCTCAGCAATCCCGTGGCGCTGTCCAGGGTGACGAGGTCCCGATGGCGTCCGCCCACCAGGCGGTACTTGAAGGGCGCCCCGTTGGGTGGCAGGTCGGCGTCGGTGGCGCTCAGCACCATCACGCTGGTGCCCGCGGGCTCGTTCTCTGCCACGTAGCCCACCGTGTGGTCGTCGAAGCGCGGGGCGTTGTCGTTCACGTCCTCCACCAGAACCCGGACCACGGTGGTGCCCGTCTCGGGCGGGGACCCAGAGTCGATGGCGCCGACAGTGATGGTGTAGGCGGACATCGCCTCCCGGTCGAGCGGCATTGTCGTCTCCACTTCGCCCGTTTGGGGGTCCACCTGAAGAGAACATAGACGTGTGAGACCATGACGAAACTTCTCATCCATTTTGTTACCAGAGTGGAACTGTATATGTGACTTACCTTGAACGAGTGCGCTCCGCTGCCACCGAGGATGGAGTAGGCAAACTGATTGTTGTTCGAGCGGACGTCCCTGTCGACGGCCCTGACGGTGGTCACTAGCGAGCCTGGGGCCGCCGCCTCAGACACCTGGGCTTCATACACGGCCTGGAGGAACTCGGGCGGGTCGTTACCGTCCTGGATGGAGATGATGACCTGCGCTTCGTCGGTGTCGTTGCCGCGGATTGAGCCGGCGTTCTTGGCCATGACCGTGAGCACGACGCGGTTCTGGGTCTCGCGGTCCAGGCCGCGGAAAACTGTGACCACGCCAGTCTCCGGCGCAATGCTAAAGCCGCGGTCGTTACTAGAGCCCACCAGGAGGTAGTACACTTTGCTGTCCTCGCCCTGGTCCTGGTCGGTGGCCTGGATGATGCCGACGCTCGTGCCAACCTCGGCGGCCTCGGACACGTCCAGATGGAAGACGGGTTGAACGAAGCGCGGGTAGTACTCGTTGACGCCGGTGATGTGCACGACGAGGCGCGCTGAGCCGTACTGTGAAGAGTCTGGGTTGGCAGCCAGGAGGTCCAGGGTGTACTGGGTTCGCTCCTCGTAGTCGAAGATTATCTTGGCTGTCACCACTCCCGTGCGCGTGTCCACGTCGAACACGTCCTTGCCGGAACCACCGACTATGGAGTAGTGGATGACTGCGTTCTTGGGTGAGTCGGCGTCGCTGGCACGAGCCGTGAACACAACAGTGCCTGGTGGAGAGTTCTCGGGAATACTAGCCGTGTAGGTGGTCTGGTTGAATACAGGTGGGTTGTCGTTGATGTCGGTGAGCATGACTGTGAGCGAGGCGGTGGCGGATCGCGCATCCAGGCCGAGGTCAGTGGCAGTGATGTTGAGGTGGTGCTCCGGCATCGTGTCGTAGTCCAGCGGCCGGACGATGGTCACCACGCCGGTGCGAGGGTGCACGGCGAACTGGCCCTGGTCGTTGCCTCCGGAGATAGCGTAACGCACTTCCCCGTTGGGACCCACGTCCGCGTCGTCAGCCTGGACCGTGAGGATAGTCGCGCCCACCGGCTCATTCTCTGGCACGAACACCTGCGAGCTGGGGGCCTTGAACACGGGGCTGTGCTTGTTCTCGCCGGTCACCACGACGACTACGGTGGTCTCGTCGCTCTGAGGAGGCACCCCCTTGTCGACAGCGCGCACGGTGATCGAGTAGGTCTGGAGCAGTCGATTCACGCCCTGGGCGCGCAAAGGCTGCACAAGGCTGATTTTCCCAGTCATCTTGTCCACAGCCAGCAGCTCGGACCCGTTGCCGCCCACCTTCATGTACTCGAGCTCGGCGTTGAGTCCGTAATCCTTGTCGTCCTTGGCGACCACCTTGAGCAGGCTGCGACCAACGGTGGCGCTCTCCGGCACCGGGACGAAGTAAGAGTGCTGCGCGAACACGGGCGCGTTGTTGTTGGCGTCCACCACGTTGACGGTGACGAGGCACTCGGACGACATGGGAGGCTTGCCGTTGTCGGTTGCGAGAATCGTCAGAGGGAATTGGTTCTCGGGGGACCAGCCAAGGGCGGTGTGCTTGTAGCGCAGCCTCCGCTTGGACAGCACCTCCCCGCTGGCCGGGTCTACGCTGAACATGTCCGAAGGGTGCTTGAGGGAATACGAGATGACAGAATTGGGTCCCTGCTTGTCGCGGTCCGCCGCTGTCACCTGGCCGACCACCGCCACTCCACTCGGCTGCAGTTCGGGGAAGTTGAAGGAATAGTAAGAGTGCTCAAACTCAGGGGCGTTGTCGTTCACGTCCTGGATGGTGACGGTGAGCGGTGTCTCTTGGCGCCACGCACCGTCCACGGCGGCCACCTTGAGCACGTACTCGTCGTGCTGTTCGCGGTCGAGCGATCCGGCCACCGTCACGTTGCCGCTAATGGGGTCGATTGCGAACTTCTCTCCTGGGTTCTCGGTGAAGCTGTACGTTGCGTTCGCGTTCTCGCCCTCGTCCAAGTCCGTGCTTGTCACGCGGATCACGAAAGTGCCGATGTCCGAGTTCTCTGTCACGTTGACGCTGAACAGCCTGGAGAAGCGCGGTGGGTTGTCGTTCTTGTCAAGCACCGTGACCAGTACAGCGGCGTTACCCGTGAGTTGGGGTCGGCCTTCGTCCACGGCCTCAACCTGTAGGGTCAAAGGAATCAAGTTAAACACTGAGGTCCAAGCTGAGGGTCTTCAAAACCCATCACGAAAAGAAACTCACCTGCAGCTGGTAGCTTGCCACTGTCTCCCGGTCGAGTTTGGTCTTGGTGAAGATCTCTCCGGTGCGGGGGTCCACACCAAAGGCACCGTCACCATCCTGGCCGGGCGCCAAGCGGTACGAGAGCTGGCCGTTGAGCCCCGAGTCACGGTCCGTTGCGCGCACGCGCAGCACCCTGATGGGGGCGAACTCCTCCTCCATCACGCTGGCGTTGTACAGGCCCTGCTCCATGACCGGGGCGTTGTCGTTGGCGTCCGTCACGTTGACGAGCAGCTGCACGAGGGAGCGCAGCGGCGGGCGGTCCGAGTCGCGCGCCTCCACCCACACCTCGCAGTGGGGCGCCGTCTCGTAGTCCAGGCCGTTTGACACGATCACGTCCCCGCTCAGCTCGTCCACCCGCAGCGCGCCGCCGGCGTTGCCGCCCGCGATGGCGTAGTGGATGGTGGCGGCGGCGCCGCGCTTGGGAGAGGTGGCCGCGACACGCGTCACCACCCTGGGTGCAGCGCCCGCCTCCTTCACGTCCTCTTGCAGGGTGAACTTGGCGACGCGCGGGCCCCGGAAGGTCGGGAACAGCCCGGCGGGGGCGACGCGGACCATGAGGTCGGCAGAGGCGGAGCGCTGCGGACTGCCGGCGTCCCGCGCGGTCACGCGCACGCCGTAGACGCGGTGGGGGTCTGTGGATAGCGTGCCACCCGCCGTGACGATGCCCGTCACGGAGTCGCATCGGAACAGGGTAGCGTCATCGCCGGACAGTGAGTACCGCACCCGGCCGTTGTCGCCGTCATCGGCGTCCACGGCCTCTGCGCCAAACACAAACTCGCCAGCGGCCGTCCCTGCCGGCACGAGAACGGTGTACTGCGTCTCGTCGAAGCGCGGTTCGTTGTCGTTCTCATCCAGGACGGTGACAGTGAGGTTGACGGCGGTAGCCCTGGGGTCGGTGGCTGAGCTGTCCTTAGCGATGAGGGTCAGGTGGTACTCGGCGAGCTCTTCGCGGTCCAGTTGCGCCGCCAGCGACACCACCCCGGTGTCCGCGTCCACGGCGAACCGCTCGGAGTGCTCACCGAGGAGGGAGTACCTACAAGGAGCGAATGTGAGATTAGAACTCTGCATTAAATCGACACGAAATTAACATGCATCAGGGTAGAGGGGCCGCGCCCGCGGAGCCCGCGAGCCCGAGGCCAGGCCGGGGGATTTGAACCCGAGACAATCGTCTCATAACGAAACACGACTAGGAACAGCCGCGACTGTCGCCTTCTGATGTATGGTCCAGTCAGCTACAGCAACGACGCACAGTCCAGTGAAAGGGCACCGCTACATGCTCTCGCTACGCCTAGCCGCGCCGCTCCGCGCCACACCGTGCGACGGGGGGCGGCGTCCGAAACGCCCCTCCCGAGCGGGAGTGACGAAGAACAAACGGGCGCAGCGCGGCGCGGGTCGGTCCCGTCCCGGTAACGGATGGCCGTAAGCGGAAACCCTGCCAGCCCCACAAGGTTTGCCTAGCCAGACGGCCGGCCGGGGCCGGGCCGGGCCACGGGGCCAGGCCGGGCCACGGGGCCAGGCCACTAGCCTGGACTTGCCAGGAATGAAACCCGATCGTGATAGCCGGGCTGCGTGCGAACAGGTGGGCGGCGGGCCTGCTGAGCCTGCTGAGCCTGCGGGTGCGAGAGGGACGGCGCCATCACAGATCGGCCGCCACTATCCCCTCCGCGAACTGGGAAAATATATAACGCGCGCGTGACGACATTCATCTAGTGGGCGAGCGCGGAGCTGCGCGGAGCGGGCTAAGGGCAGAGGACGGCGGGCAGGGCACAGCGAAAAACACACACTCACCTGATTCTAGCGTTGAGCCCCTCGTCCATGTCCGTGGCCTTGGCGTGGAGGATGACGGTGCCCGGGGCGGCGTTCTCCCTCGCGGTTGAGCGGTAGCCCTGGCGGCCCTCACGCTCGAACTCGGGGCTGTGGTCGTTGACGTCCTGCACGACGACGCGCACAGTCCCGGAGCCCGTCAGCGGCGGTGTTCCTGGGGGGACAGAGATAGACAAGTCATCAGCATGGTGGTGTGGTAGTGTGGTGCGGGGGCAGGGGCGGGCCGGGGCCGTGCGCGCGTACGGTCCTCACTAGCGTAAGTCAGCCTCCAGCGCGCGTATCTCCCGAGGCGCTTGGCAACAGCCCGCTGCAACGGCTCCAGCAGCGGCCCGCTCCAGCAGCCCCCTTTGGCCCCAACCACCACTCACGCACTCGGCGGAGTCTTCCCGGCGGCGGCGAGCCGCGCCGCGGCCAGCGTGTGGAGGAGGACGCGGAGGAAGAGGAGGATAGTCGGGGACAAGCCGGGGAGGGTGGATGGACTCGACGACGAGGGGGAAGAAGAAGAACAAGAATACATACGAACACGACCCGCGGGTAAGTGTCCCGGCGGCACGGCCGCGGTGCGGCGCGGGTCGCGGCGGGGCGGGGCGGGGCGGGTGAGGCGGCGCTTCAGTCCTGGCGGCCCGGGCCCCTCTGCCCTATCCTTGTCGCCGGTACCCGCCGGTACATATGCAAAGCGAGAGGGTCGCCGCGCCCGCCCTCGCCCCCTCCCCGCGGCGCTTCACGAGCGGCCCGGAGGACCTGAACGTCAATTTGTAATGGAGTCGATATCGAGGCAGATATCGTCCGGGCCGGGGGGAGCTGCATGGCTTTGGGGTCCGCTTAAGTCCTTTCCTTGCCCTTGCCCCCACCCCACCACCACACCCAGCGCAGAATAAAACAACGAGGTGGGCATCGGAGCAGGGTGAGAAAGCACAAGAGGACGGGCGGGAGAAAAGAATGATGCGAAAAAATGTTAAAAGGCAAGAGAGCTGAAAGGGAAGCAACGGCGACGGCATAGGGACGCAGGTCGGGATGCTCGTGCTGGCGGTCGCTGCTCCCCCTCCCCGTCCCCCCCTCTCGCGCCAGGCCACTCACCCGGCCCATGGCATGGGCGTCCTCCGCCTCAGGTGCCACACACAGTGCCCGGGCCGGGCTGGGCCGCCCGCGCCGCGGCCCCTCGCGCGGTCGCCGCCGCTAGAGTAGTGTAACCGCTCCTCGGCAATAACCTTACGCCATGCCTCACGCCCCGTGCGATACACATTGCGTTACACATCGCGGCCCGAGCCGAGCCGAGCGGAGCGCTGTTGTCTGTGTCACTTGCAGAACTGGTTCCGAGTTCTCCCGAGTATGAACGGAATATGTAAAGGCGAGATAAGGCTTCCGCTCAACAAACAAGTGTGTGTCTGTGTGTGTGTGTATAGGGGTATGTGTGCGCGCGTGCTAGAGTGTGCGTGTGTGAGAAAACACGCATCGCACGGCGCCGCAGCTGCGACGGATCTTAATCAAAGGAGGACCGACACCGACAAACTGCCGCGACAAGAAGACGGGCGTCCGCGACGGCCGCGGCGGGGTCACTACCTCACTTTGTCTCCAGAAACTTAATTATTTGTGCGCGGCGGTACCAAGGGAGGCGGTGTGTGGCAGCTTGGGCAGCAGCAGCAGCAGCTGGAGCTCCCTCTGGAAGCCGTACGGTAGCGGTGTCTGGAGGGACAGAGAGAGGCGGGCGGCGGTGGCGGCACGCTCCGGGGCCGTGCGGGGTGGTTCACGTCTCCAGCACGCCCCACCCACCACCCACCCCGCCCGCCGCGCCACGCCCCGCCATGGACCTCCCGCTGTGATAATCGGACTGAAACCGCAGGCGGAGCTATTGCT